CCAGTGTAGCAGCAAAACTTTAAATTCAAAGGAGCTAAAATGACACCCCAAAATGTGGAGTATTCAGTAGCATTGTTTTTGGATCCTTGGAATCCCAAAAAACGAGGAAACGTGACATTATGAACTATCAATTATAAACGATTCAGCACACATTTACGTATCTTAAGGGACAAGACCATGATCACAAGTAGTGGCCGAAAAAGATGAATTAATGGTTGAGAGTCATCTCTATTAATAGTATAGGCTAGGTTACCGAGAAGGGATCCTACGATTAATCACAAAAACTCTTCACAGAGGCAGCCTATCTTTTTACTTAATTTTTGCTTTCAAGAGCAATCTTTATTTTTCTTAAATACATCACTCCAGTGATCTTTTATTGCTTTCAATTAATGCTAAGCCTAGTATTCAATTCGTCTTTTAGATTCGAATTTAATTTACTTGTTACATTGCATTCCCGCTGTTTACTTTCCGCAGTGTTCACACGTCTTTGAATGGTGAAATTATTTAAAGTCCTTGAAGCTCCAAGGCATAGAAAAGAACCTAAAGTAACCTTACGTCTCGCTACAATCGTCTGAACAATCACAATTTTAGAACCCCATGTCGGTTCAAGTAGATAAGGTCGTACGTGTTTGGATTTTAAGTCTACCTAAATTTTGGCACACCCACAATCTGAAAATACGTCAAACAATATAATATAGTAGCATTGGTCTATTAGCAAATTTAATTACATTGAAAGCAATAAGAACTGTTAATAATCGTAATAAGAATAATATTGTTCGAGACACTCTATCTTTTACAATTTATGGTTTTGGTTTAAAAAAATTTCATGTACTCATTGGACCCCACAAGTGGAGATCTTTGCTCTTCCATGTCTCTCTCTCTATGCAATCTATTGTAGTGGTTGACGCCAGGGCTCTCTCTTTCTCTCTCATTCTTGACTAGCAGCAACTTATCAAATTCAAGTTAACATTCAAAACTCAAATTTAAGCTTGAGCTTTCATAGATTCATTACACACGCTGCAAAGCCAGCTCCAAGCAAAATCTCTGAAGCGCCCTTCTTGGTGGTATGTTCTGCATCATCCTCCCCACAATTTAAAAGCATTGACCTCGAGCATTGCAGTAACAAGTTTGATAAACAATGAACTTTGCACTTGTTCTTAGGAAAGATCAAATATCGAAACCTCTCTGGATTAAATAGAACTTTGGAAGCAACAAGGATAAAATTATATTAATCCCTTTCCATGACATTAAATTTATATACAGTAATGAAATCAATGGCTTGCATGGCTTGAAAATCAGGTACAACCTTAGATTGCTCGAAAATAACAACTTCACCTTATTATCATCCTTTTCTTTGTTTCAAGAGCTTTAGATTTCTCTTGTCTTTCTCCTTTTTGCTTTCCTGGGATTTAGTAGTTATGACTATGATCATCAAATTCAATTGTTGCATATTGAAGCACCTCCATTCATTCAACCTTGTTTACTCAACATCAACATGTTAGAACTGCAAATGCTTTAATATGATAAGAAATTGGAATCAAATTTTGAGAAGACTTATAGGATGCTAATTCTCAAGTTGGGGTTGGTCCAGCGGCTTTTTTGCTTTAAGACAGCCAACACTCTTTCTATGTGTGCATTCATCTCAACCAAACTTGGAAGTTAAAGCACTTAGTTCTTGTTTAATCTCCATGAGATCTTCATGAACAACCTCGCAATCTTCTGAGGGGGCTCAAAGCAACATGTAAGGTCCTCATTAGTTAGCATGGTGATGATAGGATAATAGGCGAAAATTAGGTTAAACAAGATTGGGACTATTTAGTTTTGGTGCCAAATCTTACAGATCTTGCAGCTCTTCCACCTTGGTTTGTGGCTTAATTTATAACATAAGAGATAAAACAGTGTAATAATTGTAAGATTAGGAAGAAATCCTCATTGGCATATTAATTTTCTTTGATGTAGTTTTGTCACTAGAGCCCAAGGCCACGATTGCTTTGCATGACCTATTGTGAATTAATTTTGAATGGAACTAATTGAAGAGGATGTGTATTAACACTGCAGTCATTATTCTTTGGCATTTCACAATAGTCTTTTTTTTTTTTTTGGGGGGGGGGGATAGGAAACAAAACAATTTTATTGATTTAAGAAAGAACAGTACAGAAATGGTTGGACAAGGTGTCCATCCAAAAAGAAAAAGAAAAAGAAAAAGCAAAAAATTGAATCACAAAAACTATGCTACACAACCCTCTCAAATCCGCCAAAAATGCTAGAGAGCGGAATGCCGCGGAACTCTTAGATGTTGAGACCCTCAACAAAGCTAAGAAATAAGTTCAATCTCATAATCCATCGTTCCACTGCTCTCTGTCCTCAAATATTCTAGTATTCTTCCCCAAGAGCATCACCCAAAAAAATGACTAAAATTGCCAAAACGCCCTCCACAAACAAGAGGGGAGAAAGTCCCACGAATCACCCAACTCAAACCTGCCATTTGAAATAGTTTGCACAATAGAAGCACAGCAGTAGAGCAATGTAAAAAAAAAACATGATCACTGCTCTCACACACCACTATGGAGAAATATAAAGGAAAGGTCGTCTTCTCTAATGCACATCATTAGTATTAATCTTACCATGAGTTATAGTCCTGGACAAACTTAGACCTTAATAGGCACTTTAGATTTCCAAATCATCGCAGATGGATGAAACAAAGAACATGAGGGATCAACCAGCGTATCGAAGAAAGAAACAACCATAGAGTGGAGTGATAGCAATTCCTTAGTATCTCTATCACCAAGATGGTTACGGAAACCAAAATCCCACGAAACTGAATTACGAGAAGAATAACAGACCAATGCAATAGAAGACCCATGCCAATGAGATAAATGATAAAGTCGTGGAAACAAACAAGAGAATAACGATGAACTAACTCAAACATCCTCCCATAAGCAAACTGTCTCCCCATTACCCACCATGAATGTCATTTGGGCAACCCGTGCATGCCCTTGAGGGATGAACTTCCATGGACATCAATAAGTTGCCCCCTCAGCTTCATTAGCATCCTATCCATTGGCTTGTTATTCAAATTTGCCCTTAACAACCAAATACCATAAAGAGTTTTGCTCGCGTTGACTGGGGAGAAGCCATAAATTTAGTGTAGTTGGGGTAAAAATTTCAACAACAATTATACATGACACCGACTGAAAACTAATCTAGAGACCTAATGCATTATTGTCGCTGGTTTAGCAAAGTGGATTGTGTTCAATGCTAAGACCCACTCTTAATTCCTTGATGCCAATATATTAGATTCTCAAATAAGATTCCCAAATCATAACTCAATAGTATTTCATTAAAAACTTTGAACTAATAATGAATAAAAAAAGGTTATCTAGTGCGCGAATTCTCGTAATTGTTAGATCGGGGAAGAGTCAAATGTATACAATCTTACCCCTCATGTGAAAGAATACTCCAGGACTTGAATTATTGATGTCTAGGTCATAATGGAAAAACCTTAAATTTGCAATTGTTACTGACTAATTTTCATATTATATAAATAAATTAACAATTGTGAGAAAGAGATGGCAAAATTTAGAGAAGGAGAACGATGAGTTTCAGAATGATTTCTTGAACACATTTTTGACAGATTCAATAAACCAAATATTAAGTTCACTTAATTGAGAGTAAAAAAATTTAATCTAAATGTAAAAAATAATTAAGTAAATTAAAATGTATGAGTTTTTTTTTTTTTTTGGCGGGGGGTGGGGTGACAAAATTGAGTGGGTACAGTTCCCCACTAAGGCCTATGTAGCTCCACCCCTACTATGAGAATCTTCAAAGCTATTTCCCAACTAAAACTATATTTTCTAGCCTTCAAATTTTTCATTGATAGTCTATGCTTATTCCTAGACCTTGAAACCACCTTTGAAATCACCAAATGATCCCTCTTTCCTTCACCACTCCCTTCCCACAAAAAAATATCTCATCATCTTTTCAATTCTGATAGCAATCTTACATTTTAAGAAGCATGGACACAAATACGAATACAATACGACACGAATACGATATTTTTCAAAAAAATAGGACACGGACACATTGACAATAAGCTATAGATAATTGTGTTTTCTATATAAACCTATATAATTTATGGCAAATACAGTGATAATTATATATTATTCATATAAAACTAAGTATTTTATGATAGATAAATGTTATATATAGTTATCTAGTGTGAACTTTTGGACCATAGCATCATAATAGTCAATAATCATTACTTTATTTTGTACACAACGTGCACCCAACATATACACTTTAAATGATTGCTCTCATTTTCTCAATTCCTCTTTTTTAACTTTTATGCATCCTTTGATTTTATTATGATATTTTGAGTACAACTTCAACATGTTTAGCCTTGAAAATTATATGTTCTCTTATAGTCTAAGATACTTATTAGTCAAATTTTTAAGCGGTTGTTGTGGCCATGGAATTGAAGATGGTAGGCATGCGTGTTCATGTCCTTAATGCTTGTCCAAGGTAATTACCAAAATAAATCAAACCTAACAATACCTTGTCCCATTAATATAGGGGCAAAACCAAATCGATATTTGATACTTTAATTTATGTAATTTCGTTACTTATCTTTTTTTTACTTACCTTACTTTAGTTATGTATTCCTAAACAATCTTAATCAATTTTATCTCATTTTATCTTCAATTTGTAATATTCTTATAGTCTAACTAATGTATTTATTTCTGATTGTGTCTTTTAATTACTAGTGGAGTGGATCTCAATAAACGAACCCTTAATATGTAGAATTTTGAAAAATTCACGGTGCTAATTATAACATTATGGGAATGGAAAGAAATTAGTAATGGAGCGGATTTTGATTCAAAATGCCATCCCAATATGGTAAATTTCAACAAATGCTATACATTTTGAAATGGCAATCTTGCCTTCGGCTCTCTATTAGCTCAAGTACTCATCAATAATGCTTATTTCCTTACACGAGTTAATTATACTTCAACTTTCTCCTTCAAAGGAACAAGTTGCAACCCATCATGTTCTGTACTTTCGGTTTTAGTCATTGTCAAAACATCAGTAGGAATCAAAAGATCCGACTGATCGACGTTTGGAACGAGAAAAATCAAACCTAATGTGGCAATTCTCAACACGTTTCTTATTAGAACTGCCAGCCACAAGTTGTTGAAGTCAGTTCTGGTGACATGCAACACATGAAGAACCATGCCTCCACCCCACTTGGAAGAGACTGAGCCAAGGCTATCAATGCACATCAATAGCGCGAAAAACGTCCCTTCAATGCCTAAGGGACAAAGTCTGGAGCTCAACACCATCATCGGCATCCATCTTATTCTGCTTATGATCCGAGAGACACATTCCTCCATAACCACAAAGAAGTAATCAGGAATCCCAAGTGCTAAATTCCATCGAAGAATGAAAACAAGGTCTAGCATTCCAGAGAGGCCATAAAGGAGTTGGGCAAAAAAAAGTAAGCTTCTAAAGGGGTAGTCTTTAAGAACTTTGTGATATATTAGAACTCCAACTATTGAAGCCATTGCACCAAATGCATAAATCATCCCAACTAGTTCCTGTGCCAACCAAAAAAGAGGGTCAGAGAAATTCTAACTTTCATAATTATGATTTTGGATTCGCTCGATTACACTTTCTTTCAATTTCTCTTAATAGTATATCATCTGTCATCATAAGAAATTGAGAAAATGGGTTACCACAGATGATATGAATCCAACAATTGCCAGACATTAAGGCTTTTTACACTTTACACTTGAAAGATATCTCGATTCCCATTTTACACACTGAAAGATTATTTTTTTCACATTGCACCCTGAATGTCATAAATTGGTTAAATGTGACATTCGGACTAACCATTCCATTAAAAATTGATGCACTTGCCACCCATGTGTGTTGCTCTTGTGCAAAAACATAAACTCGCCATTCATATTATTGGGTCGCATGTGCATCAATTTTTAAAGGAATTTGAAATAAATGTTAGTCCAAGGGCTATATTAGAACTAATTTATAAGGTGCAATATAAAAAAAAAAAAATTTGGGGGTACAAAGTGCAAAAAGCCCTAGAAACTAACACAAACTATGTACAATGACTAGTTAAGTGTATATATATATATATATAAGGTAAGGCCCTGTTTCAGCAATGAACAGGGGAGGGGTAGTGGGAAGTAACCCCCTTTTTTTGACCTTCAGAACTGCTTTCCTACCAAGAGGAGAAAGGGACAGTTACATGGGCAAACTTATCTTGTGCACGTATCCATGTAGAACTCAACACACTAGAGGGTCCCGTCAATTTGACAACTACTAGTTAGAGAAAAGAATTTAATAATACAACACACATAGGTTTTAGACTGTAAACAACTACCGTTTAAGTGCAACCATTGTCGTGAATACGGCTGGGAGATGATGTCCTAAACAAAACCAGTGTGATGGACAGAAGATGAAAGAGATACATACCTGAGAGAACGCAGGACCAGCTTTAGGATTAGTGTACCAGTAAAACTGCCCTTCATGAGTGCTAATACTGAGAGCTAAAGACATGTACATGTAGAGTGAAGGCTTCCAAACTTGTGGGATTTGGATAGTTTTGTACATCCCTTTTATTGCCACTCCCAACTTATCTACTCCCTGCATATACATGGACAGGAGGACACAATCATTATAATGCACACTGAAGAAGAACCAATTCCCAAAATAATTGCAATTTTTTATTATTTATTTTTTGTATTACTTCAAGTACTGTGATTTCTAAATTATTTTTCATTCTACGGTTGTTTATATAAAAACGTGAATTCAAGTTATGCTTTTGAATATAAAAGTGTGTTTGCAAAACATGCTTTTAACACATAACTTGAAAGGGATGAGTCAAGCACAAGCTTTTATACAACACAATGGTAGACTTGAAAATAAGTTAGAGATGATTGTAGAAACAAAAATATAATGAAAAAGACGATAATTTGGACGCAAAAAAATAAGAGGAAACCAGAAGCTTCATAAAGTTGGACAACTACAAAATAGGAACTAAAAATATCTAAAGTTTAATGGTCAAATAAATAATAAATTGAATCCAACTGTGGCATGGTCCCCATGCCCACCATAGTTCCTCCATTCAATGTGCATATGGTATGTGGAACTTGAAAGAAAATAATCATTTTGTGCGACTAATAAAAAAGTTTCAACTATAAAAAAGTAATTCTATTTAGACTTAAAAAGTAGTGTTAATATATATATACTAGTTATTGTTTATGCCTGAAGGCACAGAATAATAAATAATGATAAACAATAAACATATTTGTATTCATATTCAAAGTTAAATCACAAACATAGAAAAAAGATAAGATAATTTAAGCATCGACTTGCAGTTGGAGTAAGAGGTGGTAGATGGTAGTGGTAATGGTAGGAGACGGTGATGATTGTGGTGGGTGACAATGACCGTGGTGGTGGTGGAGGTGACTATAATAGTGGTGGTGGCGACAGTGGCAGTTATGGTGGCGGCGACGGTGATGGTAGTAGTGGTGGTAGTGGTGGTGGTGGCGGCGATGGCAGTGAAAGTGGTGCTGGTAGAGGTAATGGTGAGGCGATTTCAAACACTATTTTTTTTTAAGTATTTATGAAAAATAATTTCTAAAAATATTTTTAAAAAGTCACTACAAACACACCTTTAATGAACTATTTTTCCTATTAAATTTAAGGCGTTAATATTAGCCGTTAGATTAACTTTGAAGTAAAATTTAAAACAATTTCAACTGCGAATAGCAAAAGTAATTTTGTTTATCTTTTGAGATTTGAATTATAAGCTACTTTATTATATATATATATATATAATGTTATATAAAGTTAAAAAATAAATTTGATAATCACAATTATTGAATAGATAGTAAGTTCTAATAAATGTTGAGATCCACAACAAAATCAATAATTATAATTATTAAGTCTAGTTATTAGGTATATATAAACAAGGACATTTGAGTTTATATGACTAAAAAAACATTGAGATGTTTAGTTGTCAAACTTTAAGTTAGTTAAGTTCTTTAAGTTAGTCAAATTTTCTGTATATTGACTCAACGAACTGTTTTTCGGAATATAAATCAACAAACTGTTGTTATAAATGTAAAAAACTATTATTTGATGAGGTAATCTCTTTAACCACTAAAAAATAAATAACAGGCACTATGTTAAGGTATTTAGGCGTGAGCCTTATATCCACCTATATTAAGTAAACAATGCCCAATTTTACGATAAAATATTCATTACAACGGTGATACCACGTGACAAGATGATGTGGTATCACTAATCAATAATAATAAAACAAATAAACAGATGGACCCCACAAAAATTAATAACTAACCTGTCATGTAAACAAATAACTCCCTACTTTTCTGTCATGTAAGTTAAAGTTGAGTTTATCTTTCTCATTTGAGATTTTATTATTAGCTGGTGATATCATATCATCAACGACGATATAGTATTACCGTTGTATTCAATATTTACTCTAATTTTACGTGTACGACGTAGTTTACTGATATCAACATGAATTATAGCCCAAAACATCTCGACAAACAGTTGCTCTCAAATTGATTGTTGTCAAATTGGGCATAAGCTTAGTTGGTTACTTTTGACTCTCTCAATCAGGTGACAAAGGGAGCATGGTCGGCTCGTATGCTAGGCCACTAGCGGCCGCCTATAGCTCTAAATTTTTTATACTTAGGTACAATTGAGCTTAATTTCTTTTTATGGATCTCAAACAAATTTTTTACAGTGAAATTGAATTAAACTCAATTTTATTTCTAGAAATTTAATAGGAGTGATTTTAGACCTAGATTTAATTGAGTTCAAATATATTTTCAGAGGCCTTAAATAAGTGTTAAACCCTCTAAATAAAAAAGATGGGGTTATTCACATCCCACAAATATTCATTTCCACTTCATTTAATTTTTTCTTACCAAACTACTAAGTTCACCCCTTCTATATCCACTCCATTAATATATAAGTCTATCTGATGCTATACACACCCCTTTAATAAGTAAGTTTATTTAATATTTCTCACAATTAGAGTTTCATTCATTATCTCATTATACATCCACAAAAAACTTTTTCAATATAGATTTTTTCTAATAAAATAACCCGAAACAAGAAAAAAAAAAAGGAAAAAAGAAACAAACAACAATGAAACAAGAAAAACGATACAAGCAAAAACAAAATAACCTAATAGCTATTGCACAAACGAAATAGTAAAAAAATCTAAAAAGGAAATAAAAAAAACAAAAAAAAAAAAAAAAAAAACCTAATAGATACTGCAAAAATAAAAGAATGAAAAAAAAACGAAATAACACACCTAAAACTACGAGCATACTAGCCGCAATCAATAATAGAGAGACTGCAATCAAAAATCCAAATAAAAAAATATATATACATACATATAAATTTTAAATAAAAAATTATTAAATTTGATAGAGATTAATCATAGAATTGAATTGAGAAATAATACAAATTTGTATTTCACTAGAAAAATCCATATTGAAAAAATATTTTTGATGAATGTACTGGATGAGATAGTGAATGAAACCTTAATTGTGAAAATATATAAAGTGGATTTATTTATTAAAAGGATGTGTATAACATAAGGTGGGCTTAGCCACTAATAGGATGAATGTAGAATGGGCAGACTTAGTAATTTGATAAAAAGAAACTAAATAAGGTGAGAATAGATATTTGTGGGAGTGGAAATGGCCCAACCCAAATAAAAATTTCAGACCTAATTTTATTTTTAAGGTCTTTTAAAATCTAGTAGGAAAGATTAAACTCATGTTCAACTTAGCATAAGGCCCCTAGCTTAATGTGAGCCTAATATCTTTCAAAATAATAATATTTATTCATGTTTTGTATCCTGTCATGCTATATAAGATTTTCTTCTAATCAATGTTTCTAATTATTTGGACAACTTGAAAATTATTCTATTTTTTTTTTTTGTATAATCTGACAGTCTTTGGATAAATAAGATTTGTTTAGAATTAGATTGAACTAGTAAAATTCTCCAGTGGAAAAAGATATATTAACGATACTTCAATACATAAATTTAATTAGAACTTTAACATCTTAAAAACATATCGTATCATGTCATGTTTGTGCTTATATTTTTGTTAATAAAAACTATTTATTACTAAAACAATTCATACAAAACCATATAAGAAATAAAAAATTAAAGATATCCATTTTCTTCTTGCAATAATACAATCTATATGGGTTAATCGTGTATACACTAACTCGACTCTTTTATTATTCTTATTAATAGATTTTGTCATTTTCTAATTCATATCACATTCGTGTCAATAGATAAAATTAATAACCATAATCTGACTCATCAGATTGACCCGGAAATGATGGTGTAGTTGTAAGTAACTTCCAAACCACGCCAAGATAGCTCTACTTTGCGTTGTTTATTCCTCACATGTATTGGTCAAGAGGTTAACTACCCAAAAATTCATAGGTAACCAGTATGTTTGTGTACAGCTGTGGTAGATGTAATCTGATAACTAAAAAAAAATAAGAAAAAGATCTGTCCGTACTTCAAAAACTCCTTGTATAAAAAATGTTAAAGATGATGTTGCAATTAAATTTTTTAATAGTAAGTTGCACTGTCACTCTTTTAAGCTTTGGCAAAATTATATGACTGCCCGCTAATATGTCAAAAATGACATAAAGATTGTGTATAAGAATAGAAGCATCCTTTCGAGATGATATTGGTAAAAATTAAGTTGTAAATTCTATAACTACCATTATTTTTGTCATTTCTAGATTTTCTATCTCGTTCAAATAAAGGTAAAATGGTCACTATTCGCGAGTCAGGATTTTATATATGTTATCATCACTCCAATCCATGTTCATGTTTTTTTTTTTCTTTTTCTTATCATTGAATCGATCAATCTTTTTATTTGTATGACTTAGATGTCTTGTATTTCAATATTCCGACAAAGCTTCTCTATGACATTTTTGAATTATTTTATGATCATATTTTCATTAAATCAAAAACTCGGGGAAACAAATGAATCTATACTAGTAATTTCTCATATTGGCTTCTAAGAGATGCCTTTTTTATTTGTTAGAAGACCATCTTAATCACGCATTTTTTGGACAACCAGTTGCAAGATAAACTTCTAAGGTGAATAATATTTTGCATCCCAAAAGATCTTTAAATTTTTAATTTACAACCTGAATGCTAAGATTCTCATATTGCACCATCGAATCAAATGAAAAAGTAAAAATATACTCCAAAACTAAAAGGTTCGTTATTTTTTCTGACAATTTTCTTATTGTTGTATATTTTGTATATTTTTGTTTTCATACACAATTATTAATATATTAGCCAATTTTAAGTATTTTAATTGAAACTTTTGTACTGAATTTTATTAAAACTAACCATATATTGCAGTTTTCTTTATTTTATTGCTGGAGGTGAGAATTTTTATTTTTTTTAGGTTATGAGATAAAAATTAAAAAAAAAATTAGGATATAACGTATCAATTTATCCTAAACTTCACAAAAAAATTGTCACAAATAAATGGCTTTGCAAAACAAACAAGCTTGAATTATGTGCAGTCAGTCAATAGCATGTGGAACAGACAGGAGGGGAATAGAACATGTTAAGGTGCAAAGACTTTGAAGAATTATGTGCAGCCAGTCAATAGCATGTGGAACAGACAGGAGGGGAATAGACAATGTTAAGGTGCAAAGACTTTGAAGTTTGAACACATTTTGAAGTCCACAATAAAATAAAATTTGTTTACATGTCATATTCATTACACCACTACTAGATAAAGTTAAATTTGAAAATAAGATAGCTAGCACTTTCTATCACAATTTTTTATTTTTTATTATTTTGGCTCAATATAGTTTTTATTTTAGACATTATTTATATACGCCAGTATACATACGTTGATAGTTTTTGAGGTCATATATTTTTAGAAAATTTTGTCAACTTTTTAAAAAAAATAATGGGTAGAAATTATTTTTAAATTATATAATTAAATAAACGAAAAAAATATTATTTGATATAGTGAGATTAATTTTTTAAGCATTGAAATTTTTGTTACACGTTAGACACGGGTTATAATTAGTATATATATAACTCTATATACATAAATATGACATAATTTCTATCTATCTCTCTCTATTTATATATATATATATATATACAGAGAGAGAGAGAGATGATGGAATGAACTTCACACGCCACCCTCCTAATTAATAATTTAATATAAGCACAACACCCAATATATGCAAGTTGGAGGATGCTCCCCCTGCCTCCAGATAGAGCCTCTGAGGCCACCACACCCCCAGTTGGAAACTCCATACTCCATAGTCAGATCTGGATCTTGACAATTTCATTTTCTAATCAATCTTAATCATATATCGTCAACCCAAAAAAAAAAAATCAATTTTAATCATCCATTGTCTGATGAATGAGTGCTTCTGGATCTCGTTGACAAAAAAAAAAATTGACGATCAGTGTTAAACTTGATCAAAATCAATGAATTCTAGAACCTAGAGAATTGAAAGACTTTTGCCCAACATCGCTACAACTTCTAACTATATATGCATACTACGCTTGTATATGTGTATATATTTAGAGTACTGTTATTTGATATCAAAATTTGATCTAATTTATTGATATAATGATATAGTTTAGTTAAAATCATTGAATTAACACCAAATGTTAATGTTTGATAAGACTCATAATCAATCTAAAGTAATTAGGTGTGCAAATTATGTTCCAGAATGTTTGATCGGTATTGTTTTGAAGATAGTATTGATAAATATGCATTAAGGACAAATTTTAGCTCATGCTTATCAGATAAACTTGCAAGTGGGAGAAACTCTTACCTTTTTGTTGTCAGAATGAAGATCATCAGCTGTTTTCAATTCATATATCACAAAACCTAGCATTATCAGTAAAGCTGATGGTATTACCAACAGCCCCAATGAAACCTACAACAACAAAAATAGACCATTGCATAATGAGAGAGAGAGAGAGAGAGAGAGAGACTAAGAACTGTCAGATGTAAGTTTTTTACCTGAGCTCCAAGATGATGAACAAAGAAGCCACTTGTGGAATAACCCACAAGAGCACCAACGGATGAAGAAAAACTGCAAAGACTTTGCATGTCCGGAGCCAACTCCCTGATCGCAATACTATTTCTTGCAATGCAAGCATCAATGGTCACATCTGCAATGGCTACCCCAGCTGTCATTCCCAGCAAACAAACCAAAGCCATCGCCACCGCCAGCTTCCCACTCAACGCTACCACCAGGGTAGAAACCACCCCCAAAACGCCGGCAAGTATGAAATACGGCCGGCGCTTATACCCTCTCACCGGAAAAACATCTGTCAAGAGACCCCAAATGGGCTTCATGACCCATGGAATATAATACAGTCCTATAAACAATTGCACAGCTGATGGTTGAACTTTTTGGACATCTTTCCAGTAATAATCTGAGACCACTTTGAAGAAAGATCCAGAAAAGCCTTGGCTGAGGCCATAGACAAGAACTACACCAAGAACAAAGGTGGGGTTTAGTTTGGAAGAAAGCATTTGGATCCATTGAAATGGTTCAAGAATGAGCGATAAAAGGTTGGTTTTTATGGAGTTTTTTTGGTGGGTCATTACGATCTGGGTTTTTGAATCTGGGGTGGTGGGAGATTGTAAGTTGGAGTCATCTGGGAGAGGGGTTGGATTGAGTTTCTGGGTTTCTTCAGAACGCATTTTGTAGGGTTTCAATGAATCATGGATCTCAAGATGAAGATGTGAATTGAGACATGAACAGTTTGACAGGGAGAAGTGTTTGACTTAGCTCTTGAGGTTGGTTTAGGTTCAAACCTAAGACAAAATATATTCTTATTTGATGTAAAGTATGTATTATTGACTAAATGCACCAAATACAGTTAACAAAATTGGTACTATGATTAATTTTTAATATTGTCCGGCTGAAATAAATATTTATAGTAAAAAAACAACGCAAAACCTTTTGTACACACCTGTAGGATTCATTCAAAGCAAACCGCCATGCATCGCAGGATGCACACCTGTAGGATTCATTCCGTC